AAAGACTCAAATTTTACTTGCAGGGATGTACTCCTCCTTAACCATTTAAAATGCATTGGAGAAAAAACTATATAAAACAAGATTAACTGTGTGTATTTTACATGCCATAATGTACCATTTCCTAAACCATAATATATATTTAACTTTTCATTATCATCATTATTACCCATACATCCTGGTCTCTTCCATAAATAGCAAGTGTAATAACAATAAAATCATTATCAAACTAACCCCTCTACACTACAAAAAGATTCTTTTTTGTCTGAATGTGCAATCCAAATCTTTGAAGAATACCTAATATCAAGACCAGCTGGTTCAATACCTAAGCATCTGTGTTAATTTAAAATGCTAAAAAGAGATGAGAGGGAAACAATATCAATGATCTTTGAAAATTATTCATTTAAAAGAAAGAAACAAACAAAGAAAAAAAAATTATAATACTATTCCAAAAGATCTTATTGGATTCAAAACAAGCATGCAAAGCTTGAGGAGAGTTCAGTATTGCATATTCGGATGTTACAATATTATACCACACATACAGTACAAAAGCACATGAGCACTCACAAACTTAGGCTACGAAACTAATGCACAAACCTATGCCCCCTCTCTTTTGTTTGCATACACATTCTGACTACACTCGAACATATACACATGCACTAACATTCTCACACTTATGCAAATGCAAAACATACACACTTCAATCTTTCATGCACAAATGTTGCCACTTCCATACATGTGCACTCCTATACATGCAAACTTAAAGTACACAAACTCCCATATAAAACACATGCACAAAAACTTGAAACATGAAACTTAAACACATACACACACACACACAAGACACACGCAAAAAAAGTACAACTGTGACAGATTACCTCATATAGCACACCCTCTGAGGCCCTTTGCCAAACAACTTTTCCTCAATCTTCCATCCTTAACTGTTGCAGGTTAATCAGCACATATCTAAGTATAACCCTCATTACCTCTGCTTTATTATCCTTGCCAAATTGTTTGCTTTTGATTTCATATGAATTCAATTTTCACATATATATGCAAATCTTTTGGAAAAAAATAAATAAATAAAAATTAAACAATAAAAGGAGGAAAACAGTCACATACTACAAAAACTGCCTGATGACAAAAACAATTAAAATATAGAAAACATTCAAACAATAAAAGTCACATTCAACACTCATCTATAACTATGCTAAACAGACTCGATCACCAAATATATGGAAAGCACAATCATATCAGTAATATGCCAAAATTCCAAGAAGCGTAAGCAAAGTGTTGTTTTTTTTTCATCAAAACAGCACCTCAAATATTACTAAAGACACTAATCCCAAAAAAATGAAAAAGAAAGGGAAAAAAGAAGAAATAAGCTTTAAACAAATCATATTAATGACAATATTTCTGAACTCTCCCCTATTGGAACAACCAATGCCTCCAGCATCCTTCCCTTAGACTAGAGTAAATCCTACTTTATTATTACGTCTATTCCATAGCAGCATTCGAAACATGACTAAAATTTTTAAAAATAAAAAATAAATAAATAAAAAAATTAAAAATGTGTATCCACATCCAATACTGAACATTAAATACAAAATTCTTCATGAATTTATACTAATCTATGAAACCAAAGCATTTTCCCTGTGACTATCTTAGACTTTTAGGAACATACTCACAGATGCATGTTTGTATATCAGAACATTGGACTCTTGCTTATACTATGGAGCTACTGACCGAATAAGCTATGCAGGTCAGCTAAATATTGGCATCAGGTCCTAATTAGAAGTCTAGGGTTCTGATGAACAAACAGGGGTTTTAACATCTTGATATTGAATGAATTACTATTCAAACTGAAGTAAAAAGTCATAAAGATATTCTAACACACAGCAAGTAACTACCAAGAAAAATAAGAAGAGGAGTTAGGCACTGTCCCTTGCTAGTGGAAGATGAAAAGAAAAACCAGCTTTATATACACTAACAACCTGGTTCTACAGAGCTGTTCTTCACACCTGGTTTACAAAGTGGCAACAACAAAAAATAACAAAGATAAAAATCATAATAATCAACAGAAACTATAAGATGTTTGAAACATCTTTCAAAGTGATGCTAGGCTACTTTTATTAACAAAAATTATATTACATTGATTTTTTTCCCTCACAACATTGGTTGATGTAAAATAAATGAAATTCCAAATTCCTTATGTTATAAAAGCTACAATCATCTGTAGACAAAATGGTATTTGCATACCACTGTTACGAGAGTAGTTTACTCAGGCACTCTATTGTATCACCTCTAATCAATTAACAACAATGCTTGATATATAAAATTTAATCTTTAAGCTAACAAAATTCTCAACACAGTGTGACCACCTTACACGACCAAAGATTATCCAGCCATATTGTTTGTCACTTTCAAAACAACAACAACAACAAAAAAAAAGAATTAACCTGCATCAATGACATCAGTTGTATAATGGAAAGACCTTGCAAAGAAACACATTTACTGGCTATTTGACTTCAAAAGAGAGCATATGCAACACCGAAATAGATCAAAACCCTGTTCTTACATGTTCTTTTTAAGCGATTCCAATTAAATCACTTGAATACATGAAACTGGTGTAATCTTGAACAATAAAATGCACAAACATGACTAGTTCTCACAAATTCCTTAAAGGAATTGGTTCATATCCTGTGTGTGAAAGACATGAACTGCAATCTTTCCATTTCTAACACTGATCCAAGTTTTTCGTAAATCCACATAATCATATATCTGCATCTCTTATCTGGATAATTTCATTGCCCTTAAAGCAATGATAGAGAATATAAGAGTATATGGTCAGGTGATCACATACAAAAATAAACAAATATAAATTATAATTTTCTTCATGACACTTTACATCTTCAACCTCTGTTGAAGAAAAGCAACAAAATTTGATGAAATGTTAAGCTCAGAACTGCCAGTGTTTCCTGATCAAGTTACCTGTCTATGAAGATTTACAAAAATCACTAAACTAATTCTTGGCTTAGATAATTAGCCTAAAAAATAATAAAATTCATAAATATGTACTACTTCCTATAAATAGAAATCACTTTTATCAAAAAGACAAAATAAAAATTGTTTATTTTCTCTTTATAGTTAAGACTATAGTGACTAAGGATGAGCTACATACCACATGTTACTCTTGCTGACTAATTAATATTTTTCTTACTCACTGGTGTCGTGCCAGCTGATACTCAGCATAGAAGTAAGTAAACATAAAACTCCATGATAATGGTCCTTATAGTATGTGATACTATGGCATATATTATTCTTCATGAAATGCAATAGACTAACTAGTCCAAGATGTAGAGAAGCATTAATTAGGAAAGACAGAAAAAAATCCAAATCAACAGAGAACAGGATATTTCAAAACAAATGAGCAAGAGAAAAAATAAGAACGTTAATGCCCTACCCCATTCTTTAAGAAACACAGGGGCTTCACCTAGCTTCTCCCTCTACAACTGCTACATTTGGTACCTCCTGCTTTTCCTCCAACTCCTGGTGCTCCTGCTGCTGCGGCTCAGAGAGGTGCTGCTCATCACCCTTGTCCTTTGCCTTCTCCACCAGAACAGGCTGCTCTTGGAGGGTGAGGCCTTCCAGTTTTGTAAGAATGTCATCACACTCTTCAACAGGGCCAGTGAAACGCAGAAAGGCAAATCCGCTTCTGCCTCGCCATGTGATGTCCATTGGCTGAACATTTCGGTTCTGGAGAGCATCCTTGAGCTCACGCACTCTGCAAGGAAACAAATTCAGATTAAAGTTAATGTTGACATTGTAACAAAAGAAAGGTGCTAAGTAAACATGTGTGCAACATCAACAAATGCTTATAAAAATTCCCCTCTTCCTCAACTTGAAGGGGACTCCCCCCCCCCCCCCCAGCCGTCTTGCCGAAATTGAGTTAAATGCATTTCCAAGGAGTTTCAGGGCCTCCGATTCTCTCTCAAAATTTCAAGGCCCGACCACTGTTTTTCAGGTGACCAAAAATTTTTTTTCACCATACCTTAGAAAATCGGTAACTGATGTAACGATTAGATATAACATAAAAATTAAATTATTTTCTGAAAGCTTAATAAATTTCACGCACAATGAGACCAACCCTCATTTTTTGGCAAGCATTAAAAATTAAAAAAAATATATAAAAAATTATAATAATAATAATAATAATAATAATGTTAATAATAAAAATAAATAAACATGATATGCCGCTCATATGGAGTATTCTATATTCTGTGTTTTCATCATATATTGTCAGTTTGATCTATGAGCAAAATATTTTGAAAATGCAAACCTAAATGGGGGGTAAGATTTCCAAATGATCCAGACTACCACCAAAATTTTATGGAATATAAGTTAGGCTAAGACACACTTCAGGTAAAAATGTAATTATCTGTTCATAAAATTTTGAGTTAGAGAGAGAGAGAGAGAGAGAGAGAGAGAGAGAGAGAGAGAGAGAGAGAGAGAGAGAGAGAGAGAGAGAGAGAGAGAGAGAGAGAGAGAAGAAAAAAAAAAAAAAAAATTAGATTGAACCATAGTCCACATCACCACCAAAGTGCAATCGGCATCTAAGTTGGGTTAAAACACACCTTTAGTAAAAATCTCATTAAAATGTATTCAAAACTTTTAGAAATATCAGAGAACACAAACAATCAAAAAACAAACAAACAAACAATCCACAAACAAAAATAAATGGAAGTAACATTATAAATGAACAAAAGGTCATGGGATACATGGAAATTATCTATATATCCTTCCATACCTTATATACACATTTTTACACCGCCCTGTACTTATATATCGTCATTTCATGGGAGTTTTAGTGAAAATTTGCTATGTCATCCTGTAGAAAAGGCTCCTGAGGCATAGCTCAGAATGGGAACTGTGTGACAGCTGTCCAACTGGAGAATTATAATTTTTTTTACTAATATTATACGTTGTAAAACCCCATTAGAGCAACAATAAAGGAAAAATAATAGATAATTATATCATATACAAGTATTTTATACATGAATTATGTAAATGTAAAAAAAAAAAAAAAGTTTGCGATGTTTGGGTCCTTCACATATTTATGCATAGCCCAAGTATTTTCAGTCCAATTTTAATGCATTATGGCTCCTTTTGTAGCTAAATAGTAGATTTATTACATGCAGCAATAAGGATTTGAAATATTTTCATCATGTGTGTCTTATAAAAGTGACATTTTCAAAATTCTTTTTTTAGGCTGTTGAAATAGTCGTCTTTGTAAAATATTTGAAAAAAAAAAAAAAAAATTACTGTCCACTTCTAAAAATTGGCTTTCCACATATAGTAGAAAGATTGTTCTATTCAGATATGAAATCAGAATGGCTGTATGACAAACAAAGATGAGGTAAATATTAATCAGCTTATAGTAATACGTTTTACCCTTGCCAAACCTTGCAAAAGACTAGACACAGATGGAGTTGGCTGCTCAAACACAAATTCAGAAGCATGGAAACCATATGCTTACCCCACATCTGTAATTTCGGCCGTGATATATATGGCTTTTCTATAAAAGAATCTTGGAATAACTCTTATGCCTACTATGAAAGGATACATCTCTTCAAAGATCACCAGCAGAGTTGTATGCACAATAATCAACAGGCTCAACCACTATAGCATGAGTATTTGTCACCCAGCATATAGGTGTATGGTGTATGGTATGGTGAGGATAGATGCCACCCAGCATCACAGTCATCTCGTACGATCAATTCCCAATGCCAACACATCTCGTGTGTGAGATGCTTCTTTACTTTGCTTTCCGGAGAACAGACAAGTGCCCACATGTGATAAAAAGGATGTTATATTATCACAGATGCCATTTTCATGTCTACATGGCTAGAATTGGCATAAAATACAGAAATGACTTCAAGACTTCATATAAAGGAAGTGATGTCATTATGGCTACCATTTTTATTTACACTTACGAGTAATTGACCTCATAAGAATATGTCAGTACATTAGGCTTTAATATGATAATGTTATGTTACACATAACCTAACTGATTTTAAACTTACAGGTTATCAGTGGTTCAACATTCCTGTTTACATCAAAATGCAGGAATTTTCCCTAATTCATAAGGGCACATTCAGAATTTGGCATCAAGATGCCACATCTTATATCATCTCGCAACTCCCCATTCCAAGGGAGATCAATGACCCCATGACATTAACCTCTCAGGCACCTTAAGGCAAGGTACCTCAGTGCTATCCAATGCACTAATCTCCCTTGCCTTTCGTTAGGGTGTTCATCTCTTTCAACCTCTCATCTGGAGAGTGATACAGTAGGTGTACCACAGAGCAGCCAACAAGCCCAATTTCAGCATCTTGAGTTTCAAGGACAAACCTGACTTTTTAATATTACGAGCTGTAACTGACAATGAACAATGCACATCACTCTCCACTGCAAGTATATTTCTCTGTTTCCACACAATCTGCAAAAAACATGAAAACCCACTGTCGCATATGTAGGTTGATGTACATCCTGTGGACCACCCAAATAATCACCGTGGACCACGAGTAGTACATGAACCACCAGCTGAGAACCACTGGTCTACACCACTGCAATGGATGGGGTAGAAGTTGATCATGGGAGCCGATTGTACGGAGACCTGACTGGCTGACAGACACCCCACAGTTCTCTCACTCGACCATAGGCTCCCCTTGTTCTCAGTTCACTAACACAGCTCCCAATCATTTAAGCTTCTCTCAAGTCACACCTCAGCAAGCATCAGCAACACAGGACTGCCCGTGTCCTTCGTCAACTGGGGAGCCTCTCCCGCTCCCTCATTAAACTTCACTTAACCTACAGCACCAATCTATACCCCTCTCCATCTCCATTTTCACTTACACAATTACTCCCTAAAGAGACAATGACCAGTTCAAGTGGTAGATGCACCCCATCCACTACAGTATTACTTAAGGATACATCTAAACCATATGCTTAAGCCAACCACTGGATATTACAATCACAACCCACATTACACCTCTTTTAATAATCTAATCCTATGGGATATATATACTATTCACCAAACTGTTTTTCTTTGTATTTTTCTGGTTCATATTGACGAATGATGGGGATCCCCTAAACTGAAACTTACAACAATAGCAACATGTTGACCCTCCACATTCATACATACACGTACATGTGTGCACACACATTCATACATACACGTACTGCACACACAACGTACGTGCACACACATCAACATACACGTACGTGCACACACATTCATACATACACGTACACACACACACATTCATACATGTACAGATGAGAAAGTTTGGTTGAAAGATATTGACACAATGAAAAATAAATGAATAAATAAATGAAAATATATAAACTTCAAATATCTACTGTAAGAAAGGTGAGAAAATTAGAAAGGTGAGAAAATTATGTTCTTTACCTGCAAGTTGAAGGAACCTTGCCAAGGAAAATGCCATAGGTGTACACAATACGTGGCTTCTTAGGCTGTTGACGTTTACGGTTCTGACCTTCCCCCTCAATGATTTCCTGAAAATAGGATACATTTATCACTTTACTCTTATCATTTAAAAAAATCTCAACTGTCACTGTAACATGTTGGAAAAACACACATTTTTGTATCTCATAGGCGATGTACGATCTCAATTTCAAAATCATTATTCATCTTGATGCCATCAACCAGGCAAAAAGACCGCAACCCAGGTGATGCGAACAAAGCATCAAGAGCGAACACCAGGGTGCAGAAAAGACTCGCCATGAGTGCACAAACCTCATGGAGTGTGATTTAACTCATTTGACACTTAGAAGGGGGCTTTAGCATTATTCCCATCAATAAACAAATGTGGAATGTAACGTGTTTAAGCAGTGACTGGAAGAGTGCTGGCTCCACGGAGGATTCCATTTCCATGCTGTGCACTGTATTTGTGGCCGCTGTTACCGGTGGCACAGGTTGTATTACATACAATTGGAAATTACAAAACAAAATGAGATACATGACAAATAACCAAATGTTCCTTTTTTTTTTTCTTGCACTGAGCTATTAACAACATAGAGATATGATATAGAGTGTGCAAGGAAAATAAGTAATTACTATTGGCATAAAGCAAATCAAAGGACAAATATGGACATTGGGAAATGACGATAAAGCTAAATAATAGTTCATAAATAACTTTTCAAAGGGGAGGCACAGAGTGTTGTCACCGGATCCAAGGGGTTATCATGATGGGAATAACCTGCCACCCTAAGCCACACCCAAATCAGCCACAACATGAATAACGCATTGGCCATGATGTCAATCATTTATCATCCAGAATGCTAAGGGTTAAGAATTTGTTGTAGCCTCAATTAAGCATGCACAAACAACATATGAGCATCCTTTGGGTGCCACAATTTTCTCTGTGACAATTATTCTGGTAAATGATGGCAACCATCTCTAGCCTTATTAGTAGGACATTCACTATGTACAGCCAACCCTTCCCACTCATTCTCTAGAGCGAGTCATAATGCATATATACATTCCCATCATGAAGGATAGGTTTTCCATGACAGTTATGGCTGTGCCCCTCAGCAGGGTGTTAATTTGCTACATATATATTCATAATACACGTTAAGTTGTCTTCACTTCATCATTACCTTCGTTCCTGCATTTTCGTTGTCCTTCATCACCATCTTATCCTTGGCACGCTGGATCAGCAAAGGCTGCTCTTGTAGTGTGAGGCCATCCAGCTTTGCAAGGACATCATCACATTCTTCTACTGGGCCTGTGAAGCGCAAGAAGGCAAATCCATTCCTCCCACGCCAAGTGATGTCAATGGGCCTGACATCTCGACCTTGCAGGGCTTCCTTGAGCTCACGCACTCTACAGATCCACAAGAGATATGAATTATGGAATAATACCCACAGAACTAACAGTTTGTGATTTGTAGCTTACATTTTCTGAGACATTAAAATCTGCTAGAGCTGTATAGATAGTAATAATAAATACTTATTCATAGAACATGAAAAGTATTATAAAAAGAATGACTGGGTTTGGCTTACTAGAGCTAAAAACAACACAAACACATGCATATAGGAAAGAGCTAAAAGTGATTAAAACACATAGTGATTACAATTGATGTTTGTAATTCATAAACAGATGTGGGGGATTAAGTTGAACAATCTATAAACAAAATGTAAGAGCAGGAAAACATTGTACGACTTTTTTCCTGCTGTTCCCTTCACTGTTTGGTTTACATACAAAAACTTGCTCTAAACTGATTTTCACTCAATGATTAAACACGTTTTCACTGTCCAAAACCATAATCAAAATTTTTTAAAATCTGCATTACACATACAACTTCTTCCATTTATGAAAAATCTAAATCTGTAAATGGAGCACTTTAAAGCAACAAGATTCGCACAGATATCTTTCCAACTTTAACTATCCAATCCTAACTAAACAGGTCAACACCAACCACAGACTAACATGCAACTCACCTACAGGCTGGAGGAACTTTACCAAGGAACACTGCATATGTGAATGGATTCCGAGGCTTTCTAGTCTTGAGACCCTTGCCACCCTGGATCTCATTGTCCAGGTCAGCTGAGCCGAGGCGGTCCTGCTCATTTGTTGCTTCCACCGTTCTCTTTACTATTCGGTTCTTCTTGCTGACATTGATTGTAACCTTTGGGTGGAGAGTTAGGAGTGGTTATCTACTGTAAACTTTGTTTACTTTCAAATATGACTCCTACTAAAATTTGAATAAAAAAAGTAAAACTAATGTTTAAATCTACAGACCGGAACATCTGGCAGCAAAATTGATCATGTCATTACTTCTATATTTCTGGAAAGATATTTAACTATAGCTTTACAAATATATGATCAGCACTTTCATATTCATTAATTAAAGCAAAGAGGTTCCAAACACAGATACTGAAAGAGAAGCCTATCTACATGAATCATCATTGTACAAATACATAATCACATAACTGGGAGCAGCAGTATCAAAGAGTACAAGGAAAACTGCAATGCACTCAAATACTTTCCTAATTGTTGCTCCCTTATAGTAATCAAATGACAGAAGAACACTTGCAATGCACGAAAGCAACACTCACAGATCCATCCTGAAGGCAGAAAAAATTATTATACATAAAAAGAATCATGCAATAGCATCTACTGACAGAAGACAGGTCTCCATTAATTGTTTTGCATTCAAGGGAGTCAAATTAATAATAGTATGACCTGCTGTCTTTCCTACAGCTCCATTTCACAGAAAATGTTTAAAAGCCACACACAATCCATGCAAGTCATTGGGTTCACATTCAGGCTTGCATAAACTCTTCTTCCATTCTATGGTAATGTAGTCCTGGTGTTAGAGTGGAATATATAAAGTGGGTAAAAGCTTCTCCGTTATGTGAATATTTAAATGTATCCTAAAATCTGCTTCCTAAAATACATCAATCTTGAAACTCATGCAGTCTACAAATCAATTCTTTATCATAAAAACTGGTACAATACATGTGTGTGTGCACTTGTGTGCATGTGTGTGTATGTGTATGCACGTGTGTGTGTGTATGTGTATGCACGTGTGTGTGTGTATGTGTATGCACGTGTGTGTATAACTGCCACGTGTGTGCACGTGTGTTGCACGTGTGTGTGCACGTGTGTGTGCACGGTGTGCACGTGTTGCACGTGTGTGGTGTGTGCACGTGTGTGTGTGTGCACGGTGTTGTGCACGTTGTGTGCACGTGTGTGCACGTGTGTGTATGCACACATGTGTGTGCACGTGTGTGTGTGTGTGCACGTGTGTGTGCACGTTGTGCACGTGTAATGTGTGTGTCACGTGTGTGTGCACGTGTGTGTGTCGTGTGTATGCATGTGTGTGCTGTGTGTGCGTGCACGTGTGTGCATGTGTGATGCAACGTGTGTGCAGTGTTGTGTGTGTGTATGCGTGTGTGCATGTGTGTGTGCATTGTGTGTGTGCGTATACGCACGTGTGTTGTGTGTGCACTGCAGTGTGTGTGTGCACGTGTGTGTGTGTGCACGTGTGGTCGTGTGTGTGTGTGTGTGTGTGTTGTGTTGTGTGTGCACGTGTGGTGTTGTGCACGTGTGTGTGTGTGTGTGTGCACGTGTGTGTGTGTGTGTGTGTGTGCACGTGTTGTGTGTGTGTGTGTGTGTGCATGTGGTGCACGTGTGTGTGTGTGTGTGTGTGTGCACGTGTGTGTGTGTGTGTGTGTGCACTGTGTGTGCACGTGTGTGTGTGTGTGTGTGTGTGCACGTAGTGTGTGTGGGTGTGTGGTGCACGTGTCTGTGTGCGTGTGTGTGTGTTGCACGTGTGTGTGTGTGTGTGTGTTGTGCACGTGTGGTTGTGTGTGGTGCACGTGTGTGTGTGTGTGTGTGTGTGCACGTGTGTGTGCACATGTGTGTGTGTGTGTGTGTGTGTGTGTGTGTGCACGTGTGTGTGTGTGTTATGCACTGTGTGTGTGCATGTGTGTGTGTGTGCAACGTGTGTGTGGTGTTGTGTTGCAGTGTGCACGTGTGTGTGTGTGCACGTGTGGTGTGTGTGTGTGCACCGGTGTGTGTGTGCACGTGTGTGTGTGTGTGGTGCACGTGTGTGTGTGCACGTGTGCACGTGTGTGTGTGTGTGTGTGCACTGTGTGTGTGTGTTGTGTGTGCACGTGTGTGTGTGTGTGTGCACAGTGTGTGTGTGTGTGTGCACGTGTGTGTGTTGCACGTGTGTGTGTGTGTGTGCACGTGTGTGTGTGTGCACGTGTGTGTGTGTGTGTGTGTGTGTGTGTGTGCACGTGTGTGTGCACGTGTGTGTGTGGTGTGCGTGTGCACGTGTGTGTGTGTGCACGTGTGTGTGTGCACGTGTGTGTGTGTGCACGTGTGTGTGGTGCACGTGTGTGTGTGTGTGTGCACGTGTGTGTGTGTGCACGTGTGTGTGTGTGTGTGTTGTGTGTGCACTGTGTGTGTGTGTGCACTGTGTGTGTGTGTGCACGTGTGTGTGTTGTGTGCACGTGTGTGTGTGTGTGTGTGTGTGTGTGTGATGTGCACTGTGATGCATGTGTGTGTGAGTGCATGTGCGTGTGTGTGCAGTGCGTGTGAGTGCATGTTGGCGTGTGAGTGCATGTGCGTGTGAGTGAGTGCATGTGCGTGTGAGTGCATGTGCGTGTGAGTGCATGTGCGTGTGTGAATGTAAATGTCCATGTGCATGTGCATACGCGTGTGTGAATGTACATGTCCATGTGTATGTGCATGCGCGTGTGAATGTACATGTCCACGTGCATGCACTTGTGCATGTGTATGTACCTGTACACTAAATGTCTGTACCTAGCTATCAGTATAAATTTTGAAGTGTAAAGAAAAGGATAATAAATTTTGTTCCAAATACTTGAAATTAATAGAAAACAAGAACTAGACTCCCTTATACAGATGAAAATCAACTTCTTAATTCTAAATGAACCCATAACTCACATTTAACCCATGCATTTCAAATTCAAAGTAAGCAATATGGGATAACAGCAAAAAGCTGTGTAGCAGATTTCAAGAATATTACTTGTATAGGACAGAAAAGGATTTGCAAGAAATAAGAAAGACACAAATGGATAAAAAGCAAAGCAAAGGCTTAACACAATTAAAACACATCGACAACAAAAGAGAATTATAAAGAGAGAAAGGACTTCAAACACTTACTTGAATGTTCTTCTGCCCTTTATTGTCTTCTCCCTCTGACAAAGTCCTGCCGCCTCCTCGGCCACCTCCTCTGCCTCGGCCTCTGCCTCGGCCTCTGGTTCCTTGACCCCCACCACGACCACGACTATTGGCTGCCTTCTGTTCCTCAGTTAGTTCTGCGAGAGTCACATCCTTTCCAGCTCTGCAGAATTAAAACTTCACTTAAGCTTTACTGAAGGCTTATATCAGGAAGTTCCTGCAATGCTTTCCTTGCTAAAGAACCAAGACTAAGAGAAATAAACTGAAGTAGGGATTCATCATTAAAGAAAACTAAGAATTCTGCTACCATCAGAATCATTTACTACTGAAGAAGGAAGAAAAATAAAATAAAAGATGAACAAGAAAAATTAAAAAGGAAAGAAAAGAAAATAAGAAAAAAAAAGATAATGATGAAAGAGGAGGAGGAGAGAGGAAAAAGGAAGAGCAAGAGGAGGAAAAGGAAGAGCAAGAGGAGGAGGAGGAGGAGGAGGAGGAGAAGAGCAAGAGGAGGAAAAGGAAGAGCAAGAGGAGGAAAAGGAAGAGCAAGAGGAGGAAAAGGAAGAGCAAGAGGAGGAAAAGGAAGAGCAAGAGGAGGAAAAGGAAGAGCAAGAGGAGAAAAGGAAAGAGCAAAGAGGGAAAAGGAAAGAGCAAGAGGAGAAAAGGAAGAGCAAGAGGAGGAAAAGCAAAGAGCAAGAGGAGGAAAAGGAAAGAAGAGAAGAGAGGAAAAAAGAGAGGAGGAAGTGGGAAAAAAGTGGAGGACGTGGAAAATTGGGTGAAGGAAAAGAAAATGAAGAAAAAAAGGACAGAAATGAAATAAGAGAAAAAGATGAAAAGGAGAAGATAAGGAGAATAGTTGAAGAAAAGAAAAGATGAAGTAAAACAGAAGAAACAGATGAAAAGTGGAGGTGGAGGAAGAAGAAAACAGATCACATCAGTAACTTACTCTTTCTCCTTCTCCCGAAGTGTTTTCAATATTGGGACCTGTTTTAACTTTTCTGGAGACAAAAGGTGCCAGTAGATTCCCTCTGGCTTAGGCAAACGATGTGAAACCTGGAACACTTCTGTTGGGGTTACAATGAAGTCCACTGGCACATCATGTGGGCCGAAGAGCCGGTCGGGCAGGGTATCAAACAGCTGGATAAAAGAAGGACTCTTTAGAATACTGTGTAATATACTGATAAACAAGTATACTACAACCTTCAGTCTCAATAACTGCCAAAATCTTTAACCCAGTATTGAAGTATGGAAGGTGGTGATGGACTAGTACAATTAAGTAGTGGATGTTGGAAGCATTAAGCAACAGTAAGTGCTTTGTTTTGTAGAGGTATAAGAGTAGCAGCCTCAGGTGCACCACACTATGCTTGTCAAGATATTACTTTACATAAAACAATAATTTGTTTTTTTATGAACCTAAAATCAGATTTAATCCACTAAATCTGGAGGGTATGACCTTTACATCATGAAAATATCTCAAAAAAAAAATAAAGGTTACTTGAATATATCATGAAAAAATTTGGCCTAGGGCCCAGGCAACAAACATCTCACTATGAGATAACAGAAAATTCAATAATACAGAAATATAAAATTACACAAACAACATAATGTCATTTGTTATTGTTACTCCAAAGAGTTGCAGGTATCGCATAGCAGGTATTGCAGAGTTGAGATGGGAAGGAAAGAGGGAGAGAGCAGGTATTGCAGAGTTGAGACAGGAAGGAAAGAGGGAGAGAGCAGGTATTGCAGAGATTGAGACGGGAAGGAAAGAGGGAGAGAGCAGGTATTGCAGAGTTGAGACAGGAAGGAAAGAGGGAGAGAGCAGGTATTGGAGTTGAGACGAGCAGGTATTGCAGAGTTGAGACAGGAAGGAAAGAGGGAGAGAGCAGGTATTGCAGAGTTGAGACGGGAAGGAAAGAGGGAGAGAGCAGATTGCAGAGTTGAGACGGGAAGGAAAGAGCAGAGGTATTGCAGAGTTTGAGGGCAGAGAGAGAAGGAGGGAGAGAGCAGAGACGGAAAGGAAAAAAGATACATGGAAAGGAAAGTTACAAACCTGGCAGTCATGCACTGTGGTAACAACAAGAGTGCTGTCATCAACTGCCTTCATGGCTTTCATCATTCCATATTCAAGGTCAGCAAATCCTTCACCTTTACCGATTCTTCGACCTAATAGGGAGGAAAAAAAGGATGGAATGATTTTTCTCACAGGAAAAGATTAGCTGTCTATTCACACCAGAATAAGAGCAATGTGATGGAATAAATTATAATAATAAACAATACTCATCATAATATACATTTCATAATCAGAGGGAAAAAAAATAAAAAATAAATAAATAGTAAAAAATTTTTGTCACATCTCGTTCTAAAATTTGAATAGAAATTAACCCTCTGCCCTGGGATTGCATGATATATATGCTATATCACTGATTTCAGTTTATTGATTTGTTTATACATAGATAGCTCCACATGTACTTAAGTCATCATGGATTCAACTACTAGTTATACATTTTTCAATTATTTCTCCTTCTTGGTTTTTGCAATTCATACTCATTTCTTATTACTTCAAAGTATTTTGATACTATTATAATTACTTTTGTTTTAGTAGCATTAGAGAAAAAAATCTAAGGAATGGGGAGGTCAAGGGCTAATTAACTGTAGAGACATCTGTGTACAACAAAATCCAAAGCAGACAGTACATACATCCACCTGTAAAAATGGGTTAACTTTGACATCTGCATTTACTATTTATGTAGAATTATATATGAATAATAATAAAACTACAACAGTTCCAATCTTTTGGAGTTAAAGATCTGAGTTGGGAAAAAAATACACGAGAGCAAATAAGCAAACCAATCCATTGTAATTCCCATCAAGTAAAGTATATACAAAAAAATAGTACTATACAAGCTTAACAGTGATAAAAACAGGCTGAGACAAAAAGGAGCATGGTAGTCAGTGAGATTCCACTACTGCAAAAGAGGGAGAGGCAAGGAATAGAGTGGAATAAGACAGCAAGAATTGATGACAAATAAATAAAGATAATGTCAATGCTGAACCATACCTGTGCGTGAGACTGCCACAGAACCAATTACAATGAGATCAACCTTAATGTTAGCCTCAAGATCAACAGGTTTTGAATACTTCTTCATTCCCTCTGTGCTTGCCATGGTTCTTAAGGTCTCCTTATTTTCTGATGGATTGCCATCGATACGGTTAAAGAGTCCACTGCGGAGGCGTGGTGTGGGCATCAGCAGTGTTTTACCAGCCTGTGTTGTAAAGAAAATAAAAGAAAAAAGAAAAGAAAACTTATTTTTATCAATAGCTAACTCAATTTCTAAATATTTTACAATTAGTGTGAACAGTCCCCATCCACAAAAAAAAATTAAAAAATCAAAATAAATAAAAGTAATGGAACTCCTTATGCAGCAGCACCTATGAATATATAATGATCATTTACCAATATGCTAGACTGGAAACCAGTATGATACTATAAAAATAAAAAAGAAAAGAAAAGAAAAAGAAGGAAAAAAAAGAAAAAGAAAAAGAGTGAAAAGAAAATCTCGGTGAGAGACCAGAAGGTATTAGCACCTTCTGATCTACCATAAATGACCAGTTCATCAGATTTGGAAAGAAAAACAGATACACAAGAATTGGAATACCTTCTTGAGACACCATTTTTAATAGGAGTTTTGAAAAGTTCACTTTTAACCTTATGCTGCCAGGGATGGCATGTGTATACACACCATGCCCAGAGTGCTTTTAATTTAGAATTTGTTTTTACAAATAGATGGCCTCACAACTACCAAATCACCAATGAACCAATTATGAGTTCTACCTGTCTCACCTGTTTATCCTTTTCCTTGATTTTCTAAAATAATTTCTGGTATCTAATATTGATGTTTGTAATGTTAAGAACACTGTAGTAATTATGATGTCTACAATGAACATAAGTGACTACAAGTACTGCAGAAAAGCTCCCGATTGATGTTCTGCGCATGCATGATGAAACAAACAAGATGGCAGCATCTTGAAAAGATGATACATCTCCAGGTCAGGTCAGGTTCATCCTTATTACCCAGATATAACGTTTATGTATGCATTTGAATACGTATGCCAAACACCTAACCATGAGAAATCGGATACAGCTACCATACAAGTAACACTGGCCTAAAAATACAGTATCAATATTGATAGCATTATTTTTTTAAAATAATAAAAAATAAAATTCCCAAAACTCTCAGGGGAGGTCACAAGATTTGCTAATTGGCTCCTTTGTGGAAATGCATTTCCAGAGACATTTCACAAAACAATATATAAATTGTATACAGTTCATTAATTTTCCAGGGGCATTGGTTTAAATATGACACTGAATACCGATAGGTTAAATTGTCTGAAACAGCACCATAGAGAGAGTACTGTAGATCCTCAACATAAAGGTGTCTGATCCCTATGTTTATTGGAACATATCTTAAGAAAAAGAAAGGTACAGTGGCAGAGTAGAAATGGAGGCAGCCAAAGCAAATAAACCTGTGAGCAACAACAATGGTTAGGCAGGTTAGTCCAGTCTTAGATAATGACAAATGGGACTCAACTGGGTGTTGTCCTTTCACTTCCTCCAGAGTAAATGTTCCTCTAGCTAGCGGATGAATTTAATAATTCCAGCAGCACCTAATCACTTGCATATTGGCTGGCCTATATCATTACCCTGCTTGCAACTGGAGACCCTACTGTATAGCTACAAGGCCCAACTCAACTCCCCCCCCCCCCCCCTATTTTTTTTTCAAGTTTTCATCCAACTTCATTTTAATACAAATGCATTAAATGTATGTTCTGGGTACATTGTGGAACTAATACTCTAGGCTGAGTATGCTTTTAAACTACACCCTGAAGGGGGTAATTCTTGATAGACAATTGTTTGGCTATTGAAATATTGTTTTCCACATATATTTTGGAACTCCTTCCTTATCCCAGGCATAGGTTTAAACACTCCTGCTCCATAATTTTAGTAAAACAAGAGTAAATTCACTGGTGACAAGTAACTTCAAACACAAATTTATTATCATTTATTGAAAACTTTCTGCCACATCAACATCTAAGGTCATTAGCAGTGTATACAATATATAGCAATAGGGCGTGGTTTGGGGGTGAAGCCCTCAGGTAAGAAAAGGTCATACAGTATTATGAAAGTATTGTGGCAAAAAGAAAAATTAATTAAGAATTAGGACAAAAAACTTAGATAAAGGCTGTAGAGAGTGCTGTAGGTTAGTATGGTAGTAGACAGAAGGGGCTGAAGAAGAGAAGGAAAAAGAAAGGTGGAGAAAATACCATGCAAGATTAGTTAAGGCGAGGGCTGAGGTCCAAAGCAAGAGTGATCCCCTGCATTGTGCCTCAGTCCTCGTCTCCTAAGCCCCCCCTACAATAACAATAGGGGCTTCAAACAAACAGAATACAAATCAAAATTTTCAAAGAAAAAAGTATCTTCTCATCATTCTACTTGGGGACGAAGCCCCGAGGTAAGGAAATGTCATACAGCGCTATAAATATTGTGGTGAAAAGGGCAAAATGAGTTAATAATTAGGACAACATACATTAGATGTCAAAGGTTGTAGACCACTGTAGGTTAGTATGGTTATGAAAAACAAAGAGGGAAGAGCAAACTGAGTACAAAGACCATACAGGACTGACAAAGCCAGTCTTTCATCCTTTTAGTATGGCTCTCACACTTTAAGACGGAAGAATTAGATGAAGAAAAGGTTAAGGAAAGAGGGAGAAGAAAAGACCATGCAAAATTAGTTAAGGCGAGGGCTGAGGTCCTAGGTAGGGGAGATTCTTTGGCATAGGTATTGAAAATTGAAAATATCTTCTTGTAGCTCATATACAGTGATTTTAGCAAAGCTCCAGACATTATACCATTACTTGGTTAAGTAATTAGAAACAGTAAGAGGGAAATTTGTATCACTGATCATAAATTCCTATCTTCCTTTTTTAGCTCAATACTAACAGTTTCCATCTATTCTAAAATCAAGTGTGCCTTAACCAAACATGCACACAAGATAAACATGTACTCCCCAAGCTTCTGACATGGATGGTGAATTAGCAGTAAGCCTGTATCACTGTTAGCTCAATACTAACAGAGTGTGAACATGCAAGATAAACATCCCCAAGGATTGCTCGCATATGCAGTGAATGGCTTGGATTGGCAGCCAGAAATCCCATCACAATTGGATTAAGATACTTCCATCACTTTTTGGACAAGCATTGTTTTTCCCGATATGTATGTACATGTATGTACATGCCATGCCCACATTAAGTTTATATCTATCATAATTAAACAGTCACCCCATAAGTGCTTAGAAACTACATGTTTACACTGTCTTGATTTTCGAAATGCCATTTTATTTTATATCCCTACTAGTACTGCTAATAACTGTGAAAACCTTATCAATAATAATAATAATAATAATAACAGCAGCAGCATCAAACTCAAAGAAAGGGGCAGTCAGATGAAGCTATAGACTGCCAATTGGCTCCCTGGTGGCTGACCATTTGTGGAGCCATCTGTGTATAAATAAATTTCACAAAACACTACAGAAAATTACATTTTCCCCAGCAGCACTGGGTTAAAGATACCTCCTTTGCTTTCCTAATATTCTGAGTAAATGGTGCTTTCAGTATAGAGATAAAAAGTTGAGAATAATTCTAGTCCCAAAGTACTAGCATTACTTTTGTACCCTTTTTGAAAATGTTTTCTGTGCTCCCTATGATATGCTCCTTTATCTAAAAAAATAAAAAAATAAAAAAATAAATAAATAGTAGTAACCTGTGATAAGGATATTAATATACTTAAAAACTTGCAAATACATTCTGTGTAGGAAAGAAAAACAGGTTTCAGAGTTGTCTCTGCAATGCTACATTAGTAAAGCTTTTTTAGAGAAAAAGGAATACTTTTCTAAGGAGACAACCTTGTTAAGTCGCATCTTAGTAAGTCAACCCTCCCATACTTTTTTGAAGAAAATCTTTTGTTGATTTGAAATGCTGCAAGGAATAATTACAACTACCATTATTACATATGATACAAAGACAAATCAAACTTTTGGAAAGTTTCATTTCATTTTAAGCTGCCAGGACTGGAGAGTACTTTTTGAACTGACGAGTAATTGGCCTCATGAGCCATGGCCACAGTATTAATTCTCCTGGGACATCTGATGCCTTAGCCTCAAAATCTACTTGCAAGATTGTCCAATATCTTGGCAATATCATGGTTTGGTTCTTCAGGTACTATGGAGTGATTAAGCTAATAGCACTGTATACAAACACAAATAACTAACCAGTAGAACTATTCTGAACCCTCAAACTGTTTGTTATCCTTTTTGCTGACACAAGTGACAACTGGTCATGTCCTTTCATGTCATGGTAAATATTACAAGACATCAGATAATGCCTCATCATGTCATGACTCCATGTCTCAATCGCTGGGATGAATCTTGTGAATCTGATACTAATCTGGACACCTGACGTAGTGCCCCAGTGGCAAACACTATTGTAAGCCTGACTTGCCAAACTTTACATGAAAATTTACTTGTTATTTTTGAGTAAGAGCCAATACCAGTATACTTATGCATTGCCATTTGCAAAACCGGTAAAACTATTGAAAATGGTTAACCCCTAACCACTGAATCTCTTAGAGCAGGAGCTACAGAAAATCAATATATTTTATATATGATGCATCATTTTGGTCTCGATTTGGAGCATCCAATTATATTTTGACAATAAAAATATGAATGCAGTTTTCCATCTAGAATATCCAATGATAATATGACAAATGAACCCCAGGGAAGCCATAGTAACCAAACCCCACCCCTTGCTCTGTTTTCCTGTTTAGCTGATTACTAATGCTCCATCATCCCTAATCTTGTCCCATCTTGGTCTTTGCCTGACATTATAGACCACCTGCCCACTCCCACTCATTCTCCTCTTTCCTTGCTTATCTTGAAATCTGCCTTTTCACAGTTTTATGTGTAATGACTCTCGGGTAAAGAGAATCATCTTATCCTTAGGCTGTCCGTTCTATTCAAATCACTAACCTCATGCCAACAGCACTTTAGCCAATTCTAAGTCATATTTATTCAGTGTCTATTAATTATATATCAACTTGAGAAATGTGTTTTGGGGGAGGAAAATCATGTCTTGTTATTGAGCTGACCATTTCTGCCTGTCTCCACCACCTAATCTAAAGTACAAGAAGAAAGTGAGATGAGTATAGCTATATATTTAAACCTAAATGTGGGTTAAGCCAAACATGTCATGATCAAATATATGCCATTAGGTGCTTAACACTTTACACTTCAGTTTACAGAGTAAAAATCTGACAATGATGAAAAGTTGCAAAATTACAGGAATAGTCAGCTAAGTGGGGAAAGTCATCTGCAGAAGATAAAGAGTCTTTACGAGTTAAATGATTGTCACAGTGTATAATCAGTAGTGGCAAATTTCAACTCAATCAAGAAAGCTTGCCTTAGCAAAGACAGCGTTTCTCGACTCTCAAACTTGGAGATAACCATCTGTAAAGTTTGTTGAATTAAGCCTGGATTTAGAGCATATATTTGCAAATATTAATGCAAACTGTAGAGTACACACTCCATTTTTTCCCCCACTTCCATATACATGATATGAAATATGTCTTCTGTTGATTGTGACTTATTACTGCAAGCATTGTGTATACTCTACTTTTGTTAAGAGAAAAAAATCACAAAATCAATTTAGGAGTCATTAATATCTACAATAAAAATCCATAAAACCACCATATGTTTTGTGAAAAAAAAATAAAAGATTAACTAAAAAATAATAATAAATAAATAAATAAATAAAAAATCATGGAAAACATTGTAGAAAGTGGCTGTCAAGCACAAGGAAACATGACCTCCCTGCAGAGATGAGGAAAAGAATGGTAATGAAAACACACAAATTTTGCAAGACCATCACTCAAGGAGCACAGAAAGAGCAGGAGTGTTGGAAGAGTCGTCTGTAGAAAAAAAATCATCTTTAGCTAGAGTAATGAATGAATCTGAGAAAACAAGCACTTTGAACCTCATGGCTGACAATTACATGTACTGACAATGGAAGGGATGAATAATTCAATCCCAACAGGAGTTATCTTCAGAACAAATACAAAAATACCTAACTAAACCGGACAGCAGTTAGGAGTCCACTCTTGGAGAGACGCTATCTGATCTAATAAACAAAAGGGAATGCCTGATACCATGAAACCAGTGTGAGGCCAATAATGGGATTGTCACCTGTAAGTTCAAACAAAAGGAATATCCACTATCTTATCTAGACCAAAATAATTACGATAATAAGGATAGTAACAGAAAAAACAAGGAAAAACAAAGAATCCTAGTGTACTTGTCAGCAAATTGCCTTACCATCGAAAGGACCTCAATGAAAAGTCTAGGATCACAACAACTTTTGCGGCACACCAAGGATTGCACTATAACATGAGACTTTTCTTAAGTTACAGCGACAGAATACCGAGGATAAAGACACAGCAACACTTCAGCTGGGCAGAAACCGCATGAGAACTCAATCTGTATCCATCTGCAAACAAAAAGTTAGAACATAGAACCTTTCACTCAAAAATGAGAAGTTGTAGAAACAATAAATTTGAAGTCCTCAGATATGTAAGGGAGAGAGTTAGTAAGTTTACAAAATTCAGGAAAGGTAAATTAGGAGAGTAACAAAATGAAAAATACATTAATGTAACCTTTTTCATTAGTTTACCTAATCTACACAGATGTGGAAGTTTCTCAAGAAATAACTTGTATATAACCATATAAAATTTTGATTTCTCATTCCCAAATTATACAAAAAAATACACTTAAAGTAAGGTCATTCCCTTAAGCAATTAAACGGGCCATCCACTATAAAAAAAAAAAAAAAAAAAAAAATGTATATATATATATATATATATATATATATATATATATATATATATACATTTCCAGTTATACAGAAATGTACACATCCTAGAGAAATTTCAAAGAAAATTCTAAGATTCTGAAACCCTTTCCTTAACTCCTTATATAGTTTTATTCCCCCATGTATTTACTCACCTGGAAAGTTTATTTCTGAATTAAGTGCTATTGTATATTATTAGTATTTTTTTCTTTCTTTCTTTTTTTTTCCCAAATTCTCATGAATTACTTATTTTCTGCATTAGTTCAAACCTTTGATGTGTAAACCAGAAAATTTATGATAATCTCTAGATAAGACAATAAAGATCCAGGGGAAAAAACTTTTTTCCCTCTTCTTGATTAATTTTAGACTCGACAACTAAGCTTTCCTGACCATGTGATAAGCATAGTTTAACATGCATGGTATTTGCTTGTGTTTTCATATCTTCATCAATGAATGTCTGAATAGTTTTGAAGTAAAAATGCCAAAACAAACTATTATGATTTTCTTAAAAATGCAATATTTCTTTAGGTAAACAAATGCAAGTAGGCTTCTTTCCATGCTAATTATTCCACTGACACCAGGGATGGTATGCACATGCCATGTCCACTCAAAGTGGACAAGTGCTTTGTAAACAAAAGTCACGCACTAGTCATACCTGTTAAACTTGTTTACGGTTTTCCTTGGTTTCTGGTAATAATTCAATTTCAAACTGCCATTAGCACTTAACCCACTTACGACTGGCGTCACACTTATGAGTCATGGAAAATTAAGCTTTATCAGGCGTCCCATGCCCTCTGATTTTGTTGCCAGTGGCAGGTGGCGGGTGGCGCACAGGTAGGTTCCCAAACTTTCCCATACACCAATTTTGAAGCCGCCCGGAAAATATTACTTTTGTCTTGAAAATGTACCGTCGCTAGTGGGTTAATAACACCATAAATCATATTAATAATAATGACAGTTTCAATATAAAAAAAATCCAGACAATTTAAGGGAAGGAGAAATGGGGCATGGCGACATAGGCCTACAAATTCACTGCTAGTTGGATAAGTACATGAGGAACCATCCACACACATATGCATTTCAAAGAAAATAATATTGGATATTACTGGTTCCCTCTTTAGGGACCACATCCCTGAGGAGAAGGGGGTCTGAGGGGTTATTTGGAGGAAGTTAGCTTCCAGTATTCATACATGAATGTGGAAACTACCACACAATTGTTAGCGCCCACCACTGAAGTGGCATTTTGCACTAGTTTCACCTATATGGATATATGCTGTGTGTTTGCTTCTTGTATAAATACACACAGCATTTGATAATGACATTACTTTTACATATTAGTTTGTAAATGTCCAAATAACATCTTTATCCCAATATTTAAAAATTGGAAATATTTACTTGTTTTCTTTCTAATTTAAATTTTGGGTATATTTGCATATGAAATATGCTTTGGATAGACTCTCCCCCGTAATATGCTACAGCTTATACATTGATCAGTATGGTTACTGAATATGGTGGATTTTAGAATTTGGGGAAAATAGGCATGATGTACCCTAATCTATACTAAAAAGGTGGAAATTTTAAAGATCGTTCAATGAATGGTTTGAATGGAAGTTTTGGACAGTACCAGAAAAGAAAATAATAAATAAACAGGGGAAACTGCCAATGCGCGCCAACAATCCTGTTCTTACGTCCACTTGCCAAACATTTTTATCCATTGGCACTGGGTTAAGCAATTCAAATATAGCTTAAATGTAATTTATTTATCTTCTATACCAAATTGTGGTAGTTATAATTCTACAGGAATCCAATAAGCCCTTGCAAATAACTTCATATATATCAAGTACCTTAATCACTACTGGGAGTGTTAAGAACAAATACAATAAAATCTGCATCAATGGGTACAGTACATTCTAGACTATCTAAAATATATATCTACACCTCTAAATGTACTAAAAGACCTGCCAAATAGCTATACACATGTAAGAAGGCTTAAGAGAGATGGTCTGCTTACAAAAAGTTCAGAAGATTTAGTTTACAAGAAAGATACATACAGCACTTGATATCAAAATGACAGTAAATGTACAAAGACAACTAGAAAGACAAAAAAACATTTACATCAAAATCCTATTCCTGAACCAGAGTATACCTGTTATACTCTTGCAAATTTTGACTTTTCATCTCCATGCTGCTCTGCAGAACTTCATGTCCTCTATCCACAATCCCTTTTCTTTCCCTAAATACATCTCACATGGGATGGGTAAAACCACTTTCATCTCATCCATCTAAACAGAATATTTAAAAAAGTAAAACATGAATATCAGAAAGATGTTTAAAAAATGACGATAGAGAAAAATGAAGAAAAAGTGAAAAGATAATGCTGTATAAAAATTAAATCTTACCTCTAAGACAAAAAACCTCACTTCCTCCTGAGGTTTGTCTGGATTGACTTTGACTGTCTTGGCGGCCGTGAAGCACTGCAGGTCACGAACACGCTGCCCTGCCTCACCTGCACCCTGAAAATATCAAATCATTGGAACTCCTTTACTGCACTGCACAGAACTAAGAAGGTAAAAAATCCTTCGGTCAGTTTTGCACGCCAGATCTTCCTCTCCTGGTAACACTTTATAATACACAATATAAACAGAACACCTATGATAGCAATCAGGATTCTCAGTGCCCACTTGTTAATCACACTACCATCAGCTTCTGTGTTAGTTTTGATATTGCACATGGTGAGCGTAAACCAGAACAAGGAAGTCAGGGGAAGTACAAAGTTGTGGATGACCTGGGTGAGCCCTTCTGGGATGGATGGATGTTACCAAGGAGTAGGAAGAAGAGGAATTCAAGGACAAGCAATCATGAGGATGGAATGAGAAAAGTGTGGACAAGAACATAAGCTAATGCCGTAATGTGCCTATCCAAGGACAGTGCATGTGAGAACGAGATGGCCAGCCAATTAGTTCCAGACAGAGATGGCTCACCTCCTGGTTAACTCAAATGGCACCTTGAGGGCAAGAAGTAGCCGAGCAATATTGTAGGGCATATAAGGAGATTGTGTGAAAACCATAGCCTTCAAAATGGCGTTATTTGCCATCAAGAAGTTTCAATACCAGTCTGCGTGTCTGAATGTGTGTGCATGTGTGCGCGCACGTCTGTGTGTGTGCGCGCGTCTGCGTGTATGTGTGCGCATCTGCATGTGTCTAAGTGAGTGAGTGAGTGCATGTGTAAGTGAGTGAGTGAGTGCATGTGTAAGTGAGTGAGTGAGTGCATGTGTAAGTGAGTGAGTGAGTGCATGTGTAAGTGAGTGAGTGAGTGCATGTGAGTGAGTGAGTGAGTGCATGTGTAAGTGAGTGAGTGAGTGCATGTGTAAGTGAGTGAGTGAGTCCATGTGTCTGAGTGAGTATGTGGGTGCTTTCAAGTAATGTGCAGAAATGTCTTTAAAAAATTATAAATCCATATATAAATTTGTATATATACATACATATAAATATGCACATACAGATATATATATATAATTTACAATATTTCTGTGTACAGACAATATTCTCAACAAAAAACAAATCGAGTGAAGAGAAATGTGGGCAAATGGGTTAACTTCTAAACACAGTGATGAAACCACTTGTTTCACTTCACTTCACCTTTCTTATAATTTTTTTTTTTATTTACTTTCAAGAAATATTTTCCAATGTCAAACAACAGAACAGAGAAGATATTCTTAAAAGAAAAGTGAATGCATGTAATAATCACTGGGTTTCACCCTCAATCAAAATAAAGAAACAAACTTCGAGAAGTTGATCATATCTCATCATTATCCAGCAAAAAAGTAAAGTAATAAACAATAAACCTGTGACATGAAAAAGTTGTACATACAATGCAGCCATTCCATTGCCGACATTTTTACTCTTCTTCATTCTGCATACCTTAAAATAACAAATACTACTACTACTACCACTACTACTACTACCACCACCACCTACCAGGTCCTGCCTTACAAGGGTAATTACAAATTTACACTATCCCTAAACCTGAGAATATGAAATTAAACTGTGCTTTTCAAACAATAATTTTTTCATACCTCCCCACAAGTATTTAACATGATTTCTCTTTATTACATAAATAAATATCTTTTATCTCCTATAGTTACCAATGTGATATTTACCTTGAAATTAGGGATACGGTGGTCAACTGGACGAGGGAAATTCGCCAAGTCATGTTCTTCAATGTATCCCCAAACTTTGCTTCTTATATCATGCTTTGTCAAGACTGTTGGGAGAGAAAATTTCTTCTAAGCATTTCATCCCAATAAAAAAGAATGGTCTCTCTTTCTACACTATTAATCATCACTTCTACACAAATGCTGATTGAAACTGTTAGAGCAGGAATTACTAGATATGCTATTCTTGTATTTTTTTATTTTAAAGGTGCCATTCAGTTGGTTCAATAAGTACCAAATATTAATATAGGGATACTGCTAAAGCATCAAGTTATATTAATTATCAGTAACTAAAGACCTCTCTACTCTCAAGTCTTCAAATGAAATTATATATGCTGTAAAATTTAACATAAAAAGCCAAATGATATTTTAAAAGGTAGAACTCCTAAAAAATATTGAAAATTCTCCTAAATATTTTTCTTTCTTTCTTATAACATGATTACCAGACTGTAAAATGGTGCACAATATTCACAAATCAATGAAAATCAGAGCATATAATGCATTATTGGGACTTACTGGGTATGTCATCCACCTTGATGCCAGTCTTGGAAACAAACATGACTGAAACCTCAAGGAACAACTTCAACGTTCAGCTGCAAAGGAGAAAATGAATATCTGATACAAGTGTCACAATTCTCAGATAGCAACATAATTCTTGTTACATATGAAAATTTTATCTGCCATTATTTTTTCATTGTTCTTAAATAAAATGTTTACCTAGACAAAGGAAGGCTACAATAATTAAGAAATAACCCTAAACAATTTCTGAAAAAAGGTGAAACATACAATAAACAAAATATGTCAGTTTCCATGGACATATGGCAATTCAAATTATTTCTAAATACTCAACAAATAATATCTATCTAATGAGACTGCACTGCACCTACTTCAGATAAAGCATCTCTATCAACATATTATCTAAACTAAATTATGAAAGAAAAGGAAATTCAAGTGTCTTTTTTTTTTTTCTTTTTCTTAAGCAAGATAAACCTCTACAATCCTGATGACATAGGCATTATATCATGAAAAGTTGGTCTGAGAGGCAGACGCTGTGATTTTGCATCGTGGGAAAATTTGGCATAGGACCATGGTAAAATGAAAAACCAGGGAGACATATGCATATAGACAGATATATACATATGTATATACAAATACATGTATACATATATATAATTCAACTGAAAGGGAAGAACAAGAAAACACATGAATATGCCGAAAGCCTTTTCGCTATTGCTTCCTCAGGGAATGTATGCCTTGAAGAAGCAATAGCGAAAAGGCCCTCAGTATATTCGGGTGTTTTCTTGTTCTTCCCAACGTTGTTCCTGTTGCAATCTGTTCATCATGAATTCCACACATATACATATACATGCACATATATACATATATACATGTATAAACACATACATATATAAAAATACATGCACATTATTCATTCACTTAGTTTACATATCATTTATCTATATATTATAGCATAGTATAATATTCAGCCACAGGTTGACATGTTGCATTTCCAGTGTTGTGTTGATTCTGAATTATTTGTAAGACTTATACAGTTTCAATGAAGAATAATCAGACTTTAGTAACCTTCCTAGTTTAATATCTGGGTCTATCATGAGCTCCAAATGATGAAAAAAGTGATAAAAATCGAAGCAATCCAGACGGTACAAAGAAGCAACAAATGTTTAACATTTCAGTGTATAAAGGTATTTGGTTTACATTACAGTGAGAATGCAGCTCTATCTTGCCGTACACACCAAGGTGAAGAGGATATGTCCCGGGGAGTGTTGGGGGGCCGAGCCCCCCATCAACCCTCCCCTCAGGCAGTGCCCAAAGTGCACGCCTAGTCACAGCAACTAGAATTGATATATTAGGCTGGTTTATTTACCAATACATTTTTTGGGGGGTTGGAATGTGTGAATTCCCGTAGAGTTCTGTGAAAGGTGGGTTGGGTTCCTGTAGAGTCTTTGAATTGTGATGCATTAGCCCGAAGAATTTCAAAGAAGGTGGTTACATCCGTAGAATATAATTGGCCAATTTTAAGCATTTTTTGTGCTAGTTTTATCCATTTTGATTGTTATTCTTATTTAAGCCTGTTTTACCTCATAATGTCCCTGATATACTCTACTAATAGGACTTTCAAATCAAGATTGTCAATGGAGAAACGGCACTCGATCTCCTGAACGAGGTGAAACACCACCAAGAATCGATGAAATCTTTGGACTTCCTGCAGAAAAACAACAACATTTTCAACTTAGACCCTAGGAGGGTGCATCGCTCTCTGAAACAAATACCCAAAATTATAATTACCAACTAAAAACATTTGAAGTAAATATGCAAAGTGCATTGGAAACAATGTATTTTGTACTGGATGCCCGAAAAAACATATGATAGTAATCAAATGAGGAACAAATGGCTTGATAGGGAAGACTAATAAATTTTATCCCCTTAATCGATGTAGGCCTACTAAATGAGGATTAAATGGCATTTTCTGGGACAGTCCTCTTAATCCACTTACGCCGGTATATTCATAAGCCTAAAATAAAAGTCTCCAGGCAGCTACAAAATCGACCCGCGGGGCTGGCGTCACACTCTGCCCACGGGGCTGGCCCGGACTCTGCCCATGCGCCAGCCGCGGCGCGCTACTGAGTTGGAGCACAAGCCCCGATACAGCATCACACCAGCGGGATGCCCATTATCTCCCCCCCCCCCCAAGGTGTCTCATATGTGGGACACCCATCGTAAATGGGTTAATGTATGTTTGCATGTGTGTATATATTCAAATATTGTATGTTTATGTCTCTACATAGTCTACTTGTATGTGCATGGTGTTTTTTGTGTATGCACCTGTGCCCATTTGCACAGGTGTGTGTGCAGGTGCCCATTTGCACAGGTGTGCGTGCAGGTGCCCATTTGCACAGGTGTGCATGTTTACACAGCTATGCCCATTTGCATAGGTGTGCCTGTTTGCACAGGTGTGTCCATTTGTTGGTGTGCCTGTTTGCACAGGCGTGTCCATTTGTTGGTGTGCCTTGTGTTGCTGCCTGTTTGTGTCCATTTGTTGTGTGTGCATTTGTTGCATGCTGTTGCACATGTTGCACATGCACAGGCTGCATCCATTTGCCCGTTTGCACAGCTGCATCCATTTGCACAGCTGCATCCATTTTGTGCCCGTTTGCACAGGTGTGCCCGTTTGCACCTGTGCCCGTTTGCAGACCTGTGCCCGTTTGCAGACTGTTTGCAGCTGTGCCCGTTTGCCTGTTTGCTGTGCCCGTTTGCAGACCTGTGCCCGTTTGCAGACCTGTGCCCGTTTGCAGACTGTGCCCGTTTGACCTGTGCCGTTTGCAGACCTGTGCCCGTTTGCAGACCTGTGCCCGTTTGCAGACCTGTGCCCATTTGTAGGTGTCCCCGTTTGCAGACCTATGCCCATTTGTAGGTGTGTCTGTTTGCACAGCAATGCCCATTTGTAGGTATGCCCATATGCACAGCTGTGCCCATTTGTAGGTGTGCACATGCGCGCACGTGTGTCTGCATGCATGTGTGCACATGTGTGTTGAACCATATTCATGTTGTCAAATGTAGAAAGGTATGAATGAGAATGTATTTCTGATAAAAGATATATTTGGAACCGGTCAAATACATCTCTTGTATTGTGAAGCTGTTCATTCTCATTCATACCTTCCTACATATGTGCCCCCGACATGCATGTGTCCATGCGCATGTGTGCACATTTGTGTTTTCAGATTTAAATACCCATACTTTAATGCATGGCAATTTGTAAATATTAATTCTATCCTGCCCAGTTATTACTTCAAATATATCAATAACCAAAAATTAGAATGTAAAATAGTATCAAGATATACTCACTTTTCTTATACAATTTGCAGACCACATTCATCAACAGGGGAACACTCCCACACATATAGATATTAGTAGTTTCATCAATGCACCATGTTAATTCAAGCTATTACTATTATTTACAGAAACATTTACATTTAATATAATCATTATGTGAGGAACATCTTTCTGCATTTCTGTAAGAAAATGGTTGGCTCATCTAAGTCTGGCCTTAAACTATTCACTTGCAAATCACTTGTTACAAAGCTCAGAGGTCTTGTCTCCAAGTGGGTGTTCCAAGCTTCGATATACTATCGACACTTATAGTATCAAACGTGCCTTTTTGTCTAGGACTGGAAGTATATGCTACCCTACTCTGGGTCAGCTGGAAAAGACGATCTTTACTCCTCTCTATGTTCACCTGCACACCTGATTTTATTTGTTCAAGTTTTCTGCAGTGTTGTTCTTCCAACTTTCTCTGTTTTTCTCTCTGCTCTTTCAGGTACTTAATGTATTCCTCATCTTTCTTTCTAAAGTTTAACCTACTACTGGCATTATATAATCTCTTATGAAGTAACATTTCTTCCTGTTTCCTCTGGTTTTCTACTGTTCTTGCTAGTTCCTTCTGGTGGCCATACTCTTGAAGCTGCTTGGCTATAATTCTTCTTTCTTCTCTGGTATAAGACTGAGGCTTCACTTTTCCTAAACCTCTTTTCTCGACCTTCGTCTCCTGACTCAGGTCACCTTCCCCCTTCAAATTGCTCTTTTCCCTTGAGGTTTTCCAGAGAGCAAGTTGTTGGTTTCTCTCCTCTCTTTCCCTTCTCAACCTTTCTTCTTTTGCTTGATTTTTTGCCTGCAATTCCTTCTCTCTATCCTTCTGTTTCTCTGCAACCTTTGCTTCCTCCTCTATCCTTTTTGATTTTCTCTCCTGCTTCCACTGCACTAATTTCTCTCTCATTTTGTTTTTCTCAAGAATATATTTATCATAGAGTGCAATATGTTCATCAATCTCTGATTCTGTCTTGTATGCTAAAACTCTTGTCCATTCTTTTCTTCTCTGCTCCCCCTTGAACTTATGATAAACCTTGACAAAGATTTGGTGATCACGTTCTTCCCAATGATGCTTAAACTGCGGCATAGCCTGTGGCATTTCATTATCTATTTTCCTCTGCACCAGGTTACGTTTCCGAGTACTATTTACTACACCTATGATTGCATGTTCTCCCTGTTCGTCACTGTGTATCACGTTACTTTTCAAAAGAGCATCGGTAAATCGCACTCCATCTACATACTGTGTGCCCTCTATATAGTTACGATCTTCAGTCAGGCACTCTCTCAGAGCCCTAATATCTTTTTTCAGTTCTTCTTCCTGTGCTTCTAGGTATCCATACCTCCTCTGGCCATTGCCCTGGAGTGTCTTAAAGCAATTTCTGATCTGTGCAACTTTCATCAAAATGCCTTCTATATCCCTCATTTTGGAGAAATTAACTGGTTGTGCAGCATCTGCATCTGCCACTGTGAGGGCACTAACCCTGTCCTCTAGATGCTCCAACTCCTCCTTGAGGTCCAGCAACTGCTCCTTCAGCAGGACGCTGGAGCCCTTCTCTTCCCTGACCTCGGACACCCAACTCGGCAAAGATTCACGAGGTGTTCTCCTAGTCCCCATAGAGGTCTCCTCTGAGTGAATGATGCCACACTGGCCGCCCACACCCACCCACGCCCCTCCACCGCCCTCGCCCACCCCGCCCGCTTCCCCTACCCTTCTCCACAACACCGCCACTTCGCCCTTGAGACGATGGATAGCATTTTCATGACTTGCGAGGGCCATCCGTGGAATTAAGGGGTGAAATCACGCTGATCGGCCGCGAGAAGCTTCGATTTTGAAAATATCCGTCCGCTTTATGTACAGTTTATTACAGAAAACGGGTCTCCTAAAAACCCTTCCACGACAGCTCTCCCGACCACCTATTTCGCCTACGTTTCCCACCATAATTAATGGTTTACTTACCTCAACACACTCATAAACAGGACCTCTAATCTCTCTAGTTGACCGGCGATGCTCCTAACAAACGTGATAAAGTATGCTGGTGGTTTTAAAAGGATAAATCTGAAAATAGCTCACCCACGTCGCGCTCCCTACGAGCTGCCAGCAGTCATGTGCGGGTCGAGGGAGCGTACGTATAAAATTACAAAAATAGAAACCGACATATAATGCACCCGAAGGAAAACTTTAAAACTTTTGATTTTTCAGAAATAATATTTATTTATTTCTGACACTCAGAAGCGTTTTCCACTTTCAAAATGATTGATTTCTTCGTATTATATGCACAGACAAGTAGTGGCTTGCCACGGCCTCTAAAATTTAAGTGATCTTTTATATTTCTTTATGATATTATGCGCTCAATAACGTTGCACAGAACATACTTAGCTTTCTTTTACCAACCAGTTTATACCATGAATTCCACATTAAACATTCAGAGTCACCGGCAGGTTTTCACGAGACTCAACAAGCAATCACACATTCCTTCATTTTATTTGCTGCAGTCAAACATTCTTTAGTTCACACCAATATTCCCAGTCAATCAAATTCACCATTACTATGAAGGGACATAACTTTATCAAGTTTAAATGTAATCCAACGATGTTTCTTTAGATTAAAAACTTCATTTTACTGAAGTAACAAGGAAACGTGTAGAACAATCGCAGAACAGGTGAATTGTCTTTAGAAGATAATTGTCAATAATTGCATGTTATTATGATACCGTGTAATTGCCATATGGAAATGATGATTCAGCCTGTAAATACCAGTTGCAGCCATTTTCTCAAAGTAATATACAGTATATACATACATACATGTATATATAGATAGACAGACAGATAATAGATAGATAGATATTAGGTAAATATACATATACATATATATAGAAATATGTATGTATATATAAGTCCATATACATATATATGGAAATATACATATAGACACAAATACATACATACATACATACATACATATATATATATATATATATATATATATATATATATATATATATATATATATGTACATGTATGTATGTGTGTGTGCAGGCGTGCGTGCATGTGAGTGAGAGTGTGTGCATTTTTTCACAGATAATCATTTGAATTCAATAACTGTTTCTTTTTGCTTAGGGATACATCTGTCTTTATAGATAGTTGAACGTACATATATTCAGATACAAATATACATATATTATACATGTACAAATATATAGATAAATAAGTAGATAGACAAACAGATAGACAGAGCAATAAATAAATACGCATATATGTATGTATGTATATATTGCATGGAACTTTGTTATTAACTTATGCGTAGTGTAGCTATATCCCTTGAACAGTATAACATCAGAGTAAGTGGAATTTGTATGCGTCACGACCTTATAAAACATGTGTAAGGCAGATGATATACATATGAAGTTTTTTTTTCTAAATATCTGTGTAAATTTCGATACTCGTTTTGGTTGATATTCATCATATTATAATCATTACCATTATCATAGTCACTAATATTGTTACTATATCATTATTATCATTACTACCATGATTACCATTATGATTTATTATAACTACTATTACTATCATAATCATCATTATCATTATCAACAATATCAGCTTAATTGCTTATCTTTTATTATGCTATTAATAACATCAACGCAGATGGTCTGCTAGCCTAGATTACGATTTTTCTAGCAACAAAAAATAAAAATAAGAAATAGAATGCAAATATTTCGCTAATATGAAAACACGTAATTAAGAAAGTAGGCAATTGCCTTGTAATACGAGAGAAAAAATTCTTCAGTAAACATGTCAGGATCAGTGAACACAACTCTCCTAGACTTATATTAGAGCACGTTCCCTTCAAATCTATCTATCTATCTATCTATCTCTATCTGTCTGTCTGTCTGTCTGTCTGTCTGTCTGTCTGTCTGTCTGTCTGTCTGTCTGTATCTATATATATTCCAAACCATCCCATTCGTAAAAAGAGTACATTACCCACCATTACACCATCGCAAGCTAACTACCATTCTTCCATAAACCCTTTCCCCTAGGCATTGCAACCTTACCCTCTGCACGTTCAGACGCTCAGTGTAAACAAACAGCGGTAAAACATATCTCCTGGCACCCAGCCCTCACCATCGTACTGGTATAGCAGAATGTGGTATTGGTGTAGTCTGGGCTTTGGTAGCTGTGGAGAGATCAAATGACATGACATGTGCGGTTTCT